CCCGCTGGGCGCTGCACTCTGTCCCAGCGGGGAGGAGAGAAAGTGACAGCCGGCCGAGCGCTGCGGGAGGAGATCGCTGTCAGCGGCCGGTGTCTCTCCTCCCACACCGCTCAGCCTCCAATCACAGTCCGGCAGAGCGGTGTGGGGGTGGAGACGGCCCACGCTGTCACAGGAGGTTGAGCTCTCCTCCCTGTACCGCTCGCTCAGCCTCCTGTGACAGCATGTCAGAGAGGAGAGCGAGATCAAACACTCAGTGATCAGTGATCGCTGAGTGTTTGTAGATAATTGAGGACATGGTTACTATATCCTCAATTATGAAAAAGAGATTGAGGACTCAATTGAGATTGTGTTCTCAATCTCTTTTTCTATTTTAGGGAAATATCAGGGGTCTGTTTAGATCCCTAATATTTCCCAGAAGCCCCCTAAAGTAAAGTAAAAAATATTTAATAAAAAAATAATAAATAAAAATGAATTTTAAGTTATGAAAAAGTTTATATAAAATAAATAAAAATAAAATATTAAAAAATGTGAAAAAATTAAAATAAAACGTGTGGGGGTGGTGAGTGCGGGGTACAGTTCCAGTGGATGTTTATATAATGGGGGGGGGAAACAATTTCTGCCCCGGGCGCCCATAACTTTGGTTACGCCACTGGGATGTAATACACTAAAATGGATTTTAGTGCACACAAACACAATTGTGTTTGATACGTAGATACTAGGGATGTCCCAATACCACTTTTTCAAGACCAAGTACTGTCCCTCATGTACTTGCCGATACTAATTACCGATACTTTTTCTTAAAGGGCCATGTGACATTTTTTCTAAAACAATACAGACTAATGATTTTAGGGCAGTTTCTCACCAGTGCTGCGTGCATTGGAGGTGACAGGTTCTCTTTAAGGTGACATTAGGGGTCTTTTAGACCTCTAGTGTCACCTTTCTACTTCACTGGATTCACTATGGGAGCAATAGCCAGCCTGCTATTGGATATTTTAAATTGCAATAGCCAATACCAAGCTGGCTATTGTATCCGCCCATTGCCTGCTGTCAATTGAGAACTTTGTCTTCAGTTTGACAGCTGATTGACAGCAGGCAATGGGCGGGTACAATAGCCAGCCTGCTATTGGCTATTGCAATTTAAAATATCCAATAGCAGGCTGGCTATTGTTACAAGTGTCCATTCCTTTTCCACTTGAGCAAACTGCTTTTGGTGGTATATCTCAGCTGTCCATGCTCCTTATGTGTTTAATAATAATGCCCTCACCAGACGTACACAGATGTTTTCCCTCTCAATGAAAGAAGAGAAGGTCCATTCTGTGTGAAGACAAGATTTACTGCTTCTCTCTTCTCCTCCCCGTGAGCACACTGAACGAACATTCTCTCCTTTCATTGAGAGTGAAAACTGCAGTGTACGTCGGGTGACTGCATTACACATAAGGAGCACAGACATCTCAAACATTTTGATATATTACCAAAAGGAAACGGCTTCATCAAGTTGAAAAGGAGGGGACACGGAAGGATGGAGGAGCAGCAGCAGCTAATGTACAGGGGCGAGGGGGGCATCGGGGGATTTCACAGCTGTAGTCTCTTCTGCCTTCTCGTGATGGCTACAGAGGTCTGTGAAAGGGACACAGACCGCTGCAGCCAGCACCAGCAGGGAGAAGAAGGGTCAATGGCGGTAAAAAAAAATTTAAAGGGCCGGTATCTGATCTATGCATCGGGGCATTTTCAGGAGTACAAGTACTCCTGAAAATGCCCTGTATCGGCCCCGATACCGCTACTAGCATTGGTATCTGGACATCCCTAGTAGATACCAAACATTAAAACTGGGTGCCCATGAACAGGCAACGAACTACAGTAACCAAAATTGCCCGTAGGCGATGCTTTAAAAGCTTTACCACTTGTCAACAGCAAATAATGGTCCTAAAATTATTGTTCTCACTCTGACATTCACGGTCATATAATACATTTGTGGCTCCCAATGCATGTTTGCATATGTATGTACATGGGGGCAGGCGCTTTAAAAATATTTTGCTGTTTGTTTTAAGTTGTATATGTCACTTTAATTTTTTTTTACACTTTATTGTTATTATATGGGGGGCTAACAAGCTCCCTTTGTGATAGCATAGAGAAAGTGACGGGTCCTCTTTATAGAGACATCAGGGGTCTATTGAACCCCTTTTATCACCTATGGACCCCAAAGAAGCTGATGAAGCACAGATAGTGCTTTATCAGATTCTTCTCTGTGAAAAGTGATGAAATCCTTGTTGCTTCCATTTTCAGTGATCGGACGGGAGATTAGATACTGGAAGTGTGTTAATCTCCCTCCGATCCAGTCGCAGACACCTGCCTTGCCAGGCCCATGATAGCCAGCAACGGTGGTGGTGGTGGTGGTTTCACTCCTCAGCTGCATACAAGTGATCAGGCAGCTCTATAGCCCCCTGAACACTTGTATGTGACAGCCAGGCACCAGTAGAAAACAACGATACCAAGATTGTGGCTTCAGTGGCTGTGATCTTGGTAAAACCAATCCAAGACCAGGCCATTAATATACGTATTGTGGCCCTGAAGTGGTTAAATGAAATCAAAGGCTCCTGCACTCAAAATGCATCCCAATATATCCCTATGTGTTTTATGGGCTACAGTTCTCACGTGCGCAGAAAACGACAGAAAAATACTGCATGTCACATTTTGTACGGTCAGGAAACGCAAACATGTCCAAAACGCACTGCACTGCAGCTGACATACTAACAGCCCCACTCCAGCAAAAAAAAATTACATTTTTTTTACTGGAACGCATCAAAAACGCGGCCAAAGCGCACTGCATCAGTAGCACCACGTCTGTAGATCCGGACCTGATCAGGACCTGAAACTCATGTGAATAGGCCCTTAGTGCCTGTTCACATGATGTCCGTTTTCTGTGCTGACTTGATCCGTACGCTCCTGCACTCAAAATTAGGGTTGCACAGATACCAAGTACAGTACTCGGTACAGGTATGAGTACATGTACCGATACTTTTGAGCTCCAAGACTACACTACTAAATTCAAAAGTTAGGAGGCCGCTGTAATTTGTAAGGAGCACACGGAGCTCCTGGGATTTGTACATCTCTGTTTTAATGTACGATTTTGTTTTTATAAATATAAATAAAGTGATGCACAGATACCAGTGTTGCGAGTACGAGTACTGGTACTTGCCGAGTATTTACGAGTACTGATACATTTTTGTTTATTGTCATGTGACAGTTTTTCTAAAACAATAGAGACTAATGATTTCAGGACAGTGGTGGAGTGCCAGAGCCAGGTCCCAGCTGCAACCGCTGCAACCCTGGTAGTTCTCATGAAAATGCCAAGTATCTGCACTGGTACTCGAAAAGTATCTGTGCATCCCTACTCAAAATGCATCCCAATGTATCCCTATGTGTTTTATGGGCTACAGTTATCACGTGCACAGTCCGTTCAGGTTACGACAGAAAAAATACTGCATGTCACATTTTGTCCGGTCAGGAAACGCAAACGCATTAAAAACGCACTGCACTGCAGCTAACATACTTAACAGCCCCACTCCAGCAAAAAAAAAAGAATTTTTTGTTTTTTTTACTGGAACGCATCAAAAACGCGGCCAAAACGCACTGCATCAGTAGCACCGCGTCTGCAGATCCGGACCTGAAACTCATGTGAACAGGCCCTAAGAGTAGTGGACAGGACACAGTGGAGGATGTTTTTAGAACATATATTTCCTCACAGCTCCCGATCCCTCAAATACCATTCTCCTTTGTTAGAATTTATCTTTTTAATATGATACCATTTGTTGATCCAAAGAATGTGTTGCATTAACCAGTACAACTTCTTCCATTACGCAGTCTTTTTTGCATATGTTCCACTAAGGGGCGTAACTAGAAATCACAGGGCCCCATAGCAAAATTTTGTATGGGGCCCCGTGTTTTCTAGTTATACCCTATACCACTTGTTCCACTGTTTCAGCCTAATGGGTAATTTTTTATAAAGTTCGAATTAAAGAGGTACCGTATATACTCGAGTATAAGCCGTCCCGAATATAAGCCGAGGTACCTAATTTTACCACAAAAAACTGGGAAAAAAGTATTGACTCGAATATAAGCCAACAACAAATACACCTTTGTGTAATGGTTAGTAATAACAGTCTACGAACAGATACTTATAGATAATTGCAGGCCTTTGCTTCTTTGTATACCTTATTTTTATTTTACACATTTGTCTTCTTACAGTGGCCATTTTTTTTTTTTTTTTTTACTAAGGGCAGTTTTATTAATCTCCCTTTACTTCCTGGAACTCTGGCTCATGTAACTAGGACGTGCTCATGCACATCATCTCAGGGGGAAAAAATGCCTTTCCCTGAGATCTTGTGAGATTTTGCAGTTGACAGATGAGATTTCCCAGCAATGCTCTGTGATATAACCTTCCCAGGATGCATTTCCTAGGCATGGGCTGCATCACTAATGCCTAAGAGGACCAGGAAGTGGGAAAACAGTAATTGTAAGAGAAATATGTTTATGTAATTAATGAATGTAATATGATTTCATATTGGCATGCAGAACTGAATGTTGATGTGAAATAGAGTAAAGGTCCACTTTAACCCCAAAACAACGATGCTAGAATTCTCATTCACCCTCTTTTCTTGGGAGTTTAGTTTTTATTTGATGAGTACCATTTCACATCAAATGTATTTGATAAAAGTTTCAATTTTTTTCTCAGACGGCCATGTTGTGTGTCAGCTCATTTCAGTTTGCCTACATGTACGCAGAGCTCTGCTGTGCATTTTGTTTCTCTACCACCAGATGGCAGTAGTGCTTCTTGCAACGACTTAGAGGACAGAAGAATACTGTACAACTTTGCCTTGTATGTGATGATGTCAGAAGCAAGTGGTCTGTGTATTCTACACTTCCTGTGTCTGTAGTTCTGCAATCTTGGCAGAAAGGCATAGATTAAGAAAGGCCAGTGAGAGACACTTGTGAGCTTGTAAATCTCTTTATTCTGGATCGCGCTTTCTGAAAAAGTTTTACATGCAAGCAGACCATTTGCTTCAAGAATGGCTGCGGTGAAACTTACAGACCAGGTAAGAATATTCATTCTGAAAGCCCACAGATTTTGTTCATAGCTTTGAAAGTACAACAGAGGCTATTATAGTCTGAATCTCTGTAGAAAAGAGCTAAATACATGTGACTGTATCATGGTAACTTTTCTGGGTTTTCAATTTATCAGAGCTGAAGGTCCATTCTTCTAAAATTCTTGTTTCAGGTTTGGGTAGCTCCATAGTCACCTACATTCAGCAAAATCTGTGAATATTAGTTTCTTGGGACAGCCCAATGGTCAAAGCAAGGATGTATTTTTTAAAATCTATTATTCTGTATAAAGAGTGCAGCACAAGAAGAGGGACTCCATAACAAGAAAGGGTAGAGCTGAGATCTCCGGGAGAAGAGTCACTGTCACTGTGTCCCCTATAGATATTAAAAGTAGCAGGTGATGCAACCTACCAGCCCCCACCCTTAGCTAAAATATCCTGTTTTGAAAGACTTTGCCCTTAATTTAGCACTGGAGGTTTGTTTGTGGTTTTTAGTAGAAAACCATGATGTGAAGTATTTGTCGGTTTTTGGATGCTGTGAACATAGCAAACTTGAATAATTAGCAATGCAAGAAAGAAGGAAAAAGCAAAATTGGCAAAACAAACCAACCAACAAGCATATAACTGTTCTTAATGAATGGTAACCTTGACATCTGCTTGCTGATAAAAAGAGAAAAGTCCCATCCAGCACCATCCATTCACTTATCTGTCATGTTGATTAGGGTTGCACAGATACCAAGTACAGTACTCGGTACAAGTACGAGTACATGAACCGATACTTTTGAGCTCCAAGACTAGACTAGAGAAAAATTCAAAAATTAGGAGGCAGCTGTCATTTGTAAGGAGCACACGGAGCTCCTGGGATTTGTACATCTCTGTTTTAATGTACGATTTTGTTTTTATAAATATAAATAAAGGGATGCACAGATACCAGTTTTGCGAGTACTGGTACTTGCCGAGTACTTACACATTTTTGTTTATTGTCATGTGACAACTTTTCTAAAACAATACAGACTAATGATCTCAGGACAGTGGTGGAGCGCCAGAGCCCGGTCCCAGCTACAACCACTGCAACCCAGGTAGTTCTCATGAAAATGCCAAGTATCGGCACTGGTACTCGAAAAGTATCTGTGCGTCCCTAATGTTGATAAACATTTAGCTAGTTCCACACTTCTGCAGAGGTAACGTCAAATGTATTGCCCCTGCTTATCACTAGAAGATGCAGTTGGAGCTGTGTAAGTATGTACTGCGCCCATACAGCTTTTACTTCATAGAGCTAGTATCTTTCACTCCTTATAAGTTCAGGAAGGAACCTGCTGTACACATTTCCTTTTTGTGCAAATAAACGTCAGCTTTATTTTTTGCATTTCTATGCATCATCCTGTTGGGTCAATTAGAAGGATGAACAATTAAAGTGAGGGTGAATTTCAAGTGGCTTATGTATCACACCTTACCGACTTCCGTTTCTGTGTACTTCTTCTGAGTGCTGTTCCCTATTTACCTGACTTTGCTGTAGTGGCTTAACATTTCACTACCAGGGCTACATTTCATAATAGGCTGTGGCCTAGGGAGGCAGAGCTTAAAAGAGTTGTAAAGTCCCAGCATATATTATTATACTATCCTGTTATAAGATAAGCATTGTAATAGGAATACGTACTAGAGTTGTTTTTGATAATGAAATCAAAGTTTACTTGAAAAAAACCTTTTGATGTAGTGAGTGCTTCCTGCCATTTGCCCATCACTTTCACTAACTTCCTGGACTCCCGGCATGCATTGCATCTCTTTATCTGTTGCTTGATGTGATACAATCTTGATTACTCAAGACTACATTGCCCATAATGCATTGCTTTCAGCAAGCAATGATAATGTTACATTGTTCAGAAATTGAGTTGTAATTCAGAAGGCAGACTCTGTGAGAGTTGAGAGACAAGAAAGTGCACATTCACAGGGCTATGTGAAACTGTGTCAGTGCATTAAAGAAGTACATCCTATGGGGATCTTCAATAAGTAAATTTACAAACTTCTAGATCAATATGGTATAAGGAGGGGGATAGACAGGGGCGTAGATAGGGGCGTTCAACCCCCCCCCCCCCCAGAGGGTCCGGTGGGCCGAACACAATCTCCCTGATTGTGTTCGGGCTGGCTCGGCTCAGCCCGCTATGTCCGATGGCCAGCTCTGACAGCTCGAGTGATGAAAGAGCAGGGCTGCCCCACCCCCATCACCAGCCCACATCAGCCTGAGCCAGGGGGGGACTGTGTGCAGGACACCGCACTGTGAACGAAGATCACAGGACACGGAGTGTGAGCTGACGGGGGAGGAGGTTAACCATTGCTGTGCCAGTAAGTTGCTTTAAGATCCTTACGTATATCTATAATTAATGCAGTGAAGTCCAAATACAGGGTGCTCAATGCTGACTGCTTTATTAAAGGTTGAAAAATGCACAATACAAATATACAGTAAATCAAAATGAGTGATTTGCATTCAAAGTCTTGACCAGTCTGGGATCTGCAGGTGACGCCTGTAAAATTGGGGGACATGGGACCAGCTCCCTTGTGGTAGTAGGTATCTTTTAGCCTCACACATCTTAAAGTGACATTAAAGTTAAACTTTTTTTTCCCCCTTCCCAATCCTACTGTAGGGACTAACCTTAAAGGATGTCTCTTAGGCCTCATTAATATGAGAAACAGCCGGCACGCACAGCTCCGTGCTGCGTGCATGGCCGTATCGGGCAGCTCCCGAGTACGTGGCGGTATGCCGCCCTACGCTCACCCACCCTGCACGTCTGTGCGGGTACTCGTACGCTGACAGGATGGATCCTGTCTGCTTCCAAGACGGGACACCCGCACCCATACGGACCTGCACTTGGGGTGAGCGTAGGGCGGCGTATGGTCATGTACTCCCATAGAGAAGGACAGGCGTTGCGTACTAATCACACGCAGCACCTGTCCTTCCTGGGAGCTGCCCAATACGGCCGTGCACGTTTACCCAAATAGAGCTTTCTTTCTTTTGGTGCTATTTGATCGCTGCTGGTTCTTATTACATTTTTTTATATAACTGAAAAAAGACAAAAAATTGTGGAAATAAATATTTTCAACTTTTTGTTATACAAAATATCAAATAAAATAAAATGTCTTCCTAAAATTAGGCCAAAATGTATTCTGCTAAATATTTTTGGTAAAAAAAAATCCCAATAAGTGTATACCAATTATAAGTCTTTTGAAAACATGGTTTTTATCCATATGGTGTCGAACAACAAAATCGGTATTGCTCGGGGTAAAGAATTGGTTTGGGAATGATAAGGCCGGTATATTTTTTTCAAACCTTGGTGTGTCTGTTACATAAAATCTTATAATTTGAGGAAGCTGAACCCCCCCAGGAAAAAAAATTATCTACGGCCCTGGGGATAGAACGTATGAAAATTCAACATAGAAATACATATTTATTTGTAATGTTTTGACCATAGATACCCTTTAAGGCACAAGTGTCAAACTCATGGCCTAGGGGCTGAATCCGGCCCACCAGGGCATTTTCTAGACTTCTACTTTCAGATCTAGGTATTAAGTTATTACTAAAACCAGTGATAATCGAATACAGAGGCAATTATGATAAAGATTAGATACATTTATATAGTCATACAGGCCCTTTGAGGGCAACCATAATGTTGATGCGGCCCTCGAGTAAATTAAATTTGACACCCCTGCTTTAAGGGCATCACGTAGAAGTCCATACATTGTGCTGTTGACAGTCAATAACACATTCTTATGTATGATCAAACTTCTCAGACAACCACCTTGATTGCTAGCACCATCCTTATTGTTGCTGTTTCTGCACAGCCTTTTGTATTTTGAAACAGTGTATTGTATACACACAATTCACTCACTCCAGTTTGGTACTCGTAGAACCTGTTAGAAGGGTACAACATAGGTAGCAATATTTAGTCACATTCATCTGGACTTGTTCTGAATGTTGAAGACATTTCATAGCTTATCCAAGCCACTTTTCCAGCTCTGATAAGTGCCAGGAAAATACCCCAGCATTTATATCCACATAGGTAGCACATATACATAAATCCAATCAGTATAGAAAGACAGATGTTAATTCTCCAAGGACAGGATGAGAGGTATGGAAGTTGTGGAACCACCCTGTTCTAGTTATCCTGGGTGTCAGGAATTCTCTGAAGAAATTATCAACAAGGTGCGTGGAATGAAGTGAGAGCCAGATGAGACAATGGTGTCTTATGATGTCACATCCTTTTTCACTTGTATACCAACTAAACAGGCTATTGAGAATGCAAGGAAACATCTGGAAGGAGACAAGACTTGTCCGAAGAAAAGGACTCAAGTCAGTAAAATATGTTCCTTTGCTGGACTTTGTGTCTCACCTACACTTACTTGTAAGTACAAGTACAAATTTTTACAGACAGAAAACTTGGCTGTGCTACGAGATCACCTTTATCTCCAATTGTAGCTAATGTGTACATGAGGGAGGTGGAGAAGAGAAGCTTAAACTCTTTCAGGGGAATAACTCCAAGTTGTTGGTTCAGGTATGTGGACAATACCTTGGTCAAGATTAGAACATTGGAAATACAAGCTTTCACAGAACACATAAACTCGATGGGGAAAAACATTACAATTACACAAGAAGAGGCACAGAATAAAAATGTACCCTTTTTGGACTATGTGTTACATGTCAAGGAGGGGGGTGACTAGGTCATTGCAAAAACACAGGACCATCAAACAGAGGAGAGAAGCAGAACATATGGATTAATATAGTTTCATTTCACACCAGCTATGTAAATCAAAGGCTTAACACCTATTGTATGAAGACTTCCCAACACCACAGATGCAATTTTGCAACTAGAACAGAGTGGTTCCAAAGTTTTCACACCTCCCATCATGTTCTTGGGTAGTCAACATCTGTATTTTCCTGGTGACTGGATTAGGATTTCTGTGCTACCTGTGTGGATACACATGCTGCGGGGGTAATTTTTTGG